CTGCTTCTCCCTCTGACCCTTCTCCCTCTCATGCTCTCTCTCTCTCATTCTCTCTCTCGCAAATAAATAAAATCTTAAAAAAAAAAATTATTTCAATTACATTAATAAAATATGTTAATACGTTCAAATAGGTTAATAAAAAAAAACCTTTTAGGTAAAAAAGAGAATATCTGTATCAATCCAGAGTAGGAAAGGATTTCTCAAACAAGACACATAAAGTACAAACCATAAAGGAAAATACTGATACACTTGAAAACATTAAAATTAAAATGTCTGGGGGAGCCTGGGTGACTCAAGTCAGTCTTAAAGGATCCCCCTACAGATTGCCTCCGACTCTTGGTTTCAGCTCAGGTTATGATCTCAGGGTCAGGCCCCGTGCTTAGCAGGAAGTCTGCTTGAGATTTTCTCTCTCCCTCTGCCCCTCCCCCTGCTTACAGTGCTCTCTCTCTCTCTCCCTCCCTCTCTCTAAAATAAATAAATAAATCTTTAAAATTAAAATTTCTGGGGGCACCTATCTAGCTCAGTTGGAAGAGCACGCAACTCCTGTTCTCTGGGTCATGGGTTTGAGTCCCACTGTAGGTGTAGCAATTACTGATAAATAAATAATAAACTTTATTTTTTAAAATTTAAAAATTAAAAATCTCTGGTCAAAAAAGCATATCACAAAGAGAAAACATAAGCCAAAGTCAGGAAGATAGTTGCAAAACATTAGGAAAGGGTTAGTACCCCAAATACATACTATATGAAAGAGCTAAACAACCCACTAGAAAAATGGGCAAATGGTATGAACAGGCAAATCATGAGAAAAGCCTAAGGAAAAATGCCCAGTCTTACTAATAATCAAGGAAATGCAAAATAAAACAAGGAAATATGCTTAACATCTATCAGTTGGCACAAATAAGATGTGATGGTACCAAATGTAGGGGGTGGGGAGACACAACCCCTATGTATTTGTGAGGAGGATTAAACTGGTGAGCTGTTCGGCAATGCTTGGTAGAGTCGAAGCAATCCCACTTGCAAGAACTACCTAAGAAAATCATTTATTTGTGCTTAAACAGATTTGAATAAGGACTTATTCATTCATTCAAAAAACACTCATGAATTTCTACTGTGACAGGCACTGTTTTAGGCTCTGGCAATACAACAGTGAATAAAGAGCTTAAGATCTTGTGGAGGTGGGGCACCTGGGTGGCTCAGTTGGTTAAGCGACTGCCTTCGGCTCAGGTCTCGGCTCAGGTCATGATCCTGGGGTCCTGGGATCCTGGGATCGAGCCCCGCATCGGGCTCCCTACTCAGCGGGAGGCCTGCTTCTCCCTCTCCCACTCCCCCTGCTTGTGTTCCCCCTCACGCTGTCTCTCTCTCTCTGTCAATTAAATAAATAAACAAAATCTTAAAAAAAAAAAGATCTTGTGGAGGTGAACTCTCAATCACTATATTGAAGGATTCTAAATAAATTTTAAATAAAAAATTTTGACGTCTGACCTGTAGTCAATTCTCAAAGTCTAGCAGGTGTCAGTGTTCATTTCGATAGTCCTGGGCATCGTTGTTTTTTCTTTTTCTTTCTTTCTTTTTTTCACCTTACTTTCCATAGTGTTATTTTCCCCAAAGCTCTCCTCTTCTGACATAACATCTCAACTTGGAATCACAGATTCTCCACTCAACTCTTCCATTTCACAGATGATGAGACTGAGGCCTAGAGACTAATTTGGCTGAGTCCCTAATCTCCTGATTTTCTCCTGGGGTCCGTGAAGTGACAGGTAATGTAGTTTGGAATGAAGAGCCGACTTTTTAAAACTTTTTTTTATTGTGGTAAAATGAGCATAATATGAAATTTACCATCTTAGCTATTTTTAAGTGTGCAATTCAATGGCATTAAATACATTCAGGGTCACCAATACCCATCCCTAAAACTTTTCATCATGGCAAACTGAATTCATCACCATACCCAGGAAACAATAATTTCCCCATTTCCCCTCCTCCCCAGCCCCCCTGGCACCACCATTCTACTTTCTGTCTCTATGAATTTGACCACTCTAGGTACCTCATAAATGTGGAATCCTACAGCATTTGTCCTTTTGTGCCCAGCTAATTTCACTGAGCATGATGTCCTCAAGGTTCATCCGTACAGTAGAAGGTGTCAGAATGTCCTTCTTTTTTAAGGCTGAATAATATCCCATTGTATGTATATAATAACACATTTGGTTCATCCATTCATCTGTCCATGGACACGCGGGTGGCTCCTACCTTTTGGCTCTTGTGAACAACACTGCTGTGAACATGGGTGTACAAATATCTGTCCGAGTCCCTGCCTTCAATTCTTTTGAGTATACACCTAGAAGTGAAATTGCCAGATCATACGGTAATTCTCTGTTTCATGTTTTGAGGAAATACCATACTGGTTTTCAGAGCGGCTGCACCATTTTATATTCTAGGGGCAGAATATTTTAAATCCGTCCTGGTCCTCGTGCCAAGGTGACACGACCAGACTCCAGCCACCACACTGACCCCCCTCTTCCAGTGACCCATACCGGAGCTTGTTTATGTTTCTTGTCTGTTGCCTGCTAAATTTGTATCCAGTCTGTATTGTACCGAAGCCACGCAGCCCTCCTACCTGAAGGTTGGGGCCAGCTCTTAAAGCAGCAATTCTGCTGGAGTTACCAGAGGGCAGAATTAAATTTAAATCCAACTCCTATAAATAACCTCAGCCGCAGGTAGCACTCCCCCTCTGGAAGGTCTTGGTTTCTCTCCTCGCTTAGGGAGGAGTAAAAGGTCTTTCTTCTGGGATTTTTAGTCCCTCACCCAACACGCCCCACCCCCATAGAGTCTGAAATTTGGAGTTGACAGAAGGAATTAGAAATTGCTGTTTGCGGTAGACAAGGAAAACCACGATTCTTTAAAGCTTAAATGGGGTAAAAGGACTTTTACCTTTTTATCCAATTTGGTCTGAATCTGAGAGTAGTTGACGATACCTGGGGGAGTCTGATGTTTAAAAAATAATTCAAGTTGAGTTAGAAAAGAGTGCTGAGTCTACAATAGAAGGCAAAAGCCAGGATTGCCCTGCAGTTTGTCATAAAGAATAGTGAGGAGGGAACATAGAAATATATCATGTTTCCCTATGAAATCAGAAAATGAACTTTAAATCACCATGTTTGGGGGTGCCTTGCTGGCTCACTCGGAGGAGCCTGCGACTCTTAATCTCGGGGTCATGGGTTCGAGCCCCACATGGAGTATAGAGATTACTTAACAAAACTTTAAAAAAAATTTTTGAGGGAAAAATGAATAAATAAATCACCATTTTTGGTGGTTCTGACTACAGCAACAATGCACATTTCCTGTACCAATAAAAGCATACAAAAGTCTGTGTCTTTTTAAAAACCTTTAAGTGCTTTTGGGATTTTAAGTTATTATTTAACAAGCCTTTGCCAGGCCAAGGTTATAAGCAAATTCTCCCAGTGTTTCCTTCAAGGACTTATAGCTTCACTTTTAATGTTTAAATCTTTGACCCATTTGGAATTTGTCCGCATTAGTTAGGGATCCAACATTTTTTTCCTCTGGCTGCTCCCGGCCCGTCCTATTACTATGCACTGAGTAATGCAGTTCTCTCCGTATATATCATAAAGGACATTCCTGAATCTCTCTGCATCGATTTCTGGGCTTTCTCCTCTCTTCCATTGGTCAGTCTGTCTAATATGAACCAGGAACAGACTGTTTGCATTACTGATACAATATTTCAAAATAAGCAAAGAGTTACTCTCTGCCCCCTCTGTCATTGCTTTTCTTTTCCAGAATTTTCCTGGCTATTCTTAAGCATTCCTTTTTTAACATAGCCTTTACGATCAATTCGTCTGGGTTTTTATTCTAAAACACTAGTACTTTCATTGTTATTGTAATTTTTTTAAGATTTTATTTTTAAGAAATCTCTACACCCACTGTGGGGCCCAAACTCACAACCTGGAGATCAAGAATCAGTCTTCCGACTGAGCCAGCCAGACACCCCTCATTGTTATTGTATTAAATTAAAAAATTAGTTTATGGACGATCTCTATTTTATGATGTTAAATCTCTCTACGCAGGAATATGGCATATATGCTGATTTGTTCAAGCGTGCCTTTGTGAAAAGTTTTAAATTTCTCTTTAAATAGGTTCGATATGTTTCTTATTAAGTTTATTAGAAGCACTATGTAGCAACTGAGAAGATGCTATTTTGCTGTCTTTGAAGACAGAGGAAGGGGCCGAGAGCCAAGGAGGACAAAGAATGCAGCCTAGGGGGCGCCTGGGTGGCTCAGTTGTTAAGCGTCTGCCTTCCGCTCAGGTCCTGATCCCAGGGTCCTGAGATCGAGCCCCGCATCGGGCTCCCTGCTCAGCGGGAAGCCTGCTTCTGCCTCTCCCACTCCCTTTGCTTGTGTTCCTGCTCTCACTATCAGTCTCTCTCTGTCAATTAAATAAATAAACAAAATCTTAAAAAAATAAAGATCTTGTGGAGGTGAACTCTCAAGGGTCGCGGGTCAGGCGGGCGGCGGCCAGGCGGGCGGCCAGGTCCGGGCGGGCGCGCGCGAAGATGGGGTCGCAGGCCCAGGGGCCCAGCACCCCCACTGTGAAGACGGCCGAGAGGACGGAGGGCGGCAGGAGAAGCAGCAGCAGCAGGAGCCGGAGCCGGGGCCGCGGCCGGGGCCAGGGCAGGGCCCGGGGGACGCGGGGCGGGGATGGAGCCCACGGCGCGGGGGCGCTGAGCCCGGTGTCCCGAAGCGCACCCTCAAGGAGGGCGCACGCGCTCATCGCCGGCTTCTGGGAGCAGAAACGGAGCCGGATGAGCGGACGAGGCCCCCAGAACTCTCGTAGGGCTCTCTCGGCAAACCCCCCACCCCCCACCAGTTTCTCAAAGCCCAACTAACCCGGGACGTGGATCCATTTCCACAACACCCCCCTCCCGGGCTCGGACGACTCTATGGGGATCAAGGGCTTAGCCTGGAAACCCACCGCACTCCCCACCCCCCAAACCCCTGCTTCTCCTGCTGCCTGTTCCCCTTTTGCCTCCCCCACCACCAGAGCCATGGGGAGGGGGTCAGTGGAGACACGCCCATGCCCTCCTCAGATCCATCTGGGGCAGAAGGGACCCGAGTCCCTGCGGAGGGGCCTTTGCCACTCACCGGAAAGTCCGGGGCTCGGGCCCAGGCCCCGGGTGAGGGGTCACAGGGCAGATCCCCCTTCTGACGCCCTCCCACAGGTGTCCTTTGCCAGGCCGGCCTGGGGGGTGGGGGGGTGGGGTGGGAACAGCTGTCCCGAGTCCTTAATCTCCCCAAGCTGATTAGGGTCCCTTAATCAGGCAGGGAGGAGTTGATGGAGGATGGGGCTCCCTGGAGTGGGATCTATCCTGGCCCCCAGGCAACCAGCGGACTCTTTCTCCTCCGTGCCTCTCAACCTGGGCGCCCCCCCCCCCCGCGCCGACACCCAAGATGAAAGCAGCCGCAGGTCCCCCTTTTCAAGCTGCTGCCACATTAACCCTGCTCAGCCTGGGAAGCAGTAAGATGAGCCCATGGGCGATCAGTTTCGCGGGGGTGGGGCTGGGCATCTCTCCGGCTCATTCCCTCCAATCATCTGTTTCCACTTTTGGCCTCCAAGTTCAAGCCCCATCCCTTGGTCGGCAAAGTCCATACAAGACCAAATCCAAACCAGTCCGGTATCTGTCTTTCTTCTCTCATCTGCCCACACTTAGTTCTCTGATTTCCACTTCTCCATGCCTAGAAACCTGGCCCTTGGGCCTTGGGGAAGGCAGAACCCCAGGAAATAAGGGCAAGGGCTCCGGCCTTGGGCGAGCCTGGGTTCAAATTCCTCCTTCCTGACCTTGGGAAAGTTGCTTAATCTCTCTGAAGGTTGTTGTGAAAAGTACCTGTGATAATGAATATAGTGCCTGGACGACAAAGATGATTAAGACAAATTTAAAGGAGAATGTGATGGGAGACTTGGTCTACCACATATCAAGATTTATTACAGGAGCGCCTGGGTGGCTCAGTCGATTAAGCGGCTGCCTTCGGCTCAGGTCATGATCCCAGGGTCCTGGGATCGAGCCCTGCATCGGGCTCCTTGCTCAGCAGGCAGCCTGCTTCTCCCTCTGCCTCTGCCTGCCGCTCCCCCTGCTTGTGCTCTCTCTCTCACTATCTCTCTCTCTGTGTCAAATAAAAATAAATAAAATCTTTAAAAAAAAAAGATTTATTACAAAGGGTATTGGTGCGGGAATAAACAAGTAGACCGATGGAACAGAATAAAGAACACTGGGACAAACCCAGCAAAAATGGAAATCTAAGGCATGAAAAAGTGGCCGTTTCTTACCAGTGGGGAAAGGATGAGTTTTCCACAAATGGAGCTGATTAACCAGCCATCTGAGAGCAGACAGGATGAAGGAATAGGGTGTGATCCCTCACACTCTACAAAATCAAATTAATTTAAAGACATACATAACAAACAAAACTTAAAAACATGTCAGTGAACCCTTTTTCAACCATCATGGCAAAGATTGGATCGGGCAAGAATCCTCAGTGGATGCTATGCTAGCGGGAAATTGTAATGAGAAGCGGGATGTTTGCATGTCTTAAAAGATCCCCCTACAGATTGCGTACCGTTTGGAAGGAAGCACAAAAAAATAGAAAGCGTTTTATACGGTGGAGAGATTGGGCAACACTTTGACCGGGGTCAAAATTAACCGATGAGGGGCAGATAGACATCGTGTGCCTCCTGACGGGATGCCCTGGCAAAGACACAGTAGCATATCTAGACAATGATGCAGGACTGCATACCACACATCTGTGCAGAGGTCCAGTTGAGACTGCTTTCATCAGCCGAACCTAATCACGAGCAAACATCAGACAAACACAGAATGAGGAACATTTTACTAAAAACCGGGGGAGGGGACTGTATTCTTCAAAAACATCAGTATTCTAAAAGACAAATAAAGGTTGATGAATTGTTCTAGATTAAAGGAAGTAAAAAACAAACAAAAAAAAAGACGATTAAATACGATCCCTGCTCCTACTTTGGATCCTGCATTTAAAACTGCTATAAGGTTATGTGGCGCCTGGCTGACTCAGTCGGAAGAGCATGCAACTCTAGAGCTCGGGGTTGTGAGTTCGAGCCCCACGTTGGGTGCAGAGATTACTAAAAATAATGAAATAAACTTATAAAAACAATCATCTAAAACTGCTATACGGTTATATGGTTTACAGGGTTATGAAAAGGCTATGAAGTGTGTCAACATCAAATTTGTCAACTGACAAAATTGAGATATGAATGGGAGATTTGATAAAATGTATTTTATCAATGTAAATTTATGAGGTTGATGACTGGTCTGTAGTAATGTAAGAGATTATCCCTATTCCTAGGAAATATGCACCAGAAGCATTTAGCTGTAATAATAACGTATAATGTATGTCGCATACCTTGAAATAGTCAAGAAAAAATATGATATGTATATGTATTATATATGTTATGTTGCATATATTACATGTATCAAGTGATAAATGGGTAGAATGTTAACACTAGGTCAACTAGGTAAAGGGTATATGAATGTCCTTTGTACTATTTTTAGTTTTGCAACATTTTTTCAAATTATTTCAATTACACGGGCGCCTGGGTGGCTCAGTTGGTTAAGCGACTGCCTTCGGCTCAGGTCATGATCCTGGAGTCCCGGGATCGAGTCCCACATCAGGCTCCCTGCT